TGAAGAAATTCATGGCAGAGCAGCAAATACAGGTACTTGATTGGCCAGGGAATTCCCCGGACGTAAATCCCATTGAGAATTTGTGGGCTATATGCAAAAGTCGCCTCCGTGCTGTTGACTGTACAACTATGGAGAAGCTCATTCAAGGGCTGATTCGGATGTGGTACAGGGATCCGAAAATCAACAGTGACTGTTCGAAACTATAGTGGTACCTCGGGTTACAGACGCTTCAGGTTACATACGCTTCAGGTTGCAGACTCCGCTAACCCAGAAATAGTACCTCAGGTTAAGAACTTTGCTTCAGGATGAGAACAGAAATCGTGCTCCGGCGGCGCAGCAGCAGCAGGAAGCCCCATTAGCTAAAGTGGTGCTTCAGGTTAAGAACAGTTTCAGGTTAAGAACGGACCCCCAGAACGAATTAAGTACTTAACCCGAGGTACCACTGTAGTAGACTCCACACCAAACCGTGTTCAAATGCTGCTTAAAAATAGCGGAGGTCATATCCGTTAATAATGTACGTACAGTCATACCTCATGTTACGTCCGCTTCATGTTATGTTCTTTCAGGATACGTCCCACGGTGACCCGGAAGTACCGGAAAGGGTTACTTCTAGGTTTTGCCACTCGCGCATGCGCAGGATGACATTTTGCGTGTCTGCGCATGCGCAGAAATGGCAAATTGCAACCTGCACGTGCACAGACGCAGGTTGCGTTCTTTTCATGTTGCGAACGGGCCTCCGGAACGGATCGCATCTGCAACCAGAGGTACCACTGTATATGTGAGTTTTGTACAATAAGCTACATTGTTTGTTTCAATTAATTTGCACTGGGGTGTATAACAACATATTCCATTAAAAGCTTTGCAAGCTGGAGAGAAGCATCATTCAGTTCTATCAAGTCTCTCTGAATGAGGTATCTGCCTCGCTCAAGTCTATGTGAAAGATATATACAAAGAGTCTAACCTTCCGAGTTCTGATCTTGGAAAGAGCCAGGGAACAACTGGTGCGAAAGTGAACAGCTACCCATTAGTTAAGCAACGGCCACACTCAGCGCCTGCCTTGATCCATTATGAGCCTCCCAGGGCCCCCTTGGCAGTCCGTCGCTAACAGCCCCGAAGCAGCAGGAATGTGGAAGGAACAGGTGCTGGGGCTTGCCACAGCTGGGACCCACGCTGCGCAAAGAGAATAAGTGGTGCTACTGCTGTTTCCCCAGCAGCCTTGAATGAAGCCACCTACCTGAAGACGCTTAATTGTTTGACTCGCCTATAGATTTTCTTTTAAATGCTGGGTGCTGGCAACGTTTAACTCCTTCGGCTGCTGTCGATGGGTCCCTGGTGTCGTCGCCTTTCCCTAGCATTGTTTAAGGTCTCTGGTCTCTGTAATATGGAGACCTGTGTACGAATGCAGACTGTCAGGTGTGCGTGCAGGAGCCAGGCCCTGTGACCAATAAGGCTCTGCAGGACTGGGGCCTTCCTAAGTTTGTTCGGAAGAGGCAAGGTGCGGCCGCACAGGTGAGGCTGATTGGTAACTCACAAGAGACGGGAAGGGATATAAGGTCAGCATTTTCCCTTCAGCTCTTTGCCACAGCAACACGTTCCCTGCCTTGCATCTGACTCCTTGCTCCTCGACCCCTGACTTCGTGACTTCTTGCTCCTTGATCCTCGGACCCCTGACTTCGTGACTCCTTGCTCCTTGATCCTTGGACCCCTGACTTCGTGACTTCTTGCTCCTTGATCCTCGGACCCCTGACTTTGTGACTCCTTGCTTCTTGATCCTCGGACCCCTGACTTTGTGACTCCTTGCTTCCTGACCCTTGGACCCTTGGCTTCCTGGCTTCTGGACTCCCGTTCCTGCTCCCACCCTGCCATCTTGCCCCCAGTCCCGACGTCCTCAGCCGGGACTTCGATTGCCCGTGAACCGGACCGTGACACAGACCCTCCAAGTGTCCCTATGTTCCAAGGACAGCCCTGGATTTACAGAAGCCATTCTGGTTTCTGATTTGATCCCAGAATATCCCGCTTTTCCTTAGGATATCCCTATTTTCATTGGAGAGATGTTGGAGGGTATGGAGTTTCTGCCACCTGAGCCATCGGAAGGCAGCATTGCGTAGACTGTCTATCGTCTCTTGGGCTGCAACCACCAACTTTTGTTCAGCCTCTCTCTCTCTCTCTCTCTCTCTCTTTCTCTCTGGCTGGTTGAAGTCTTCCCATCTCCCCGATGAGGCTCTGCTCTGCAGGAGGGGTGGCAGATATAGCCAGAAGATCTGCTTCTTGGACTTTGATATCTAGAGTCGCAAGGGGAGGCCCTCCCTCCTCCATCCCTCGGTTGCCAACTTTCCTCTCCCATCCCCCCCCAGTCTGTTCCTTCTCCTTCTTTCTCCTCTTCCATCTGGGGCCACCAAACCATGCCATATCCTAATGAAGGCCAGGGGCCCATGACAGCAGTTGCACATCATCTGGGAGCTCTGCTGTTAATGTAGCAAACATACTGTGCATGGAATCTGTGGTTCTGTGAAGATTCACAACCTTAAAATGAAAAAAAAAGGAAATTCCACCCACAGTACATTCACAGCTTATCAGCAGAGTTGCCAGAATATCAACAAGCGGTACAAAAGGTAAAAGAATGGACAGGTGAGAGGTGCAGGTATGTTACTTTTCAAAAACATATTGCAAACGCCAAAACCTGAAAAAGCTGTGTATTAATAAGAAGGGTATTAATTCTTATTTTATTGAATTATGTAAAAAATAAATAAAAGGCATGCAATTGCAATGTGAAAGCATAATTGCTTTCACTGTTGAACAAGATAAACAGAACAATTTTTGCTATTCACTATTACGAAATGAATTTCTCACACTGGTATCAGCAAAGAACATTGCATTTGCAGTGATAGTCTCTGCGAGCGGCCTAGGAACGTTCTGGGTCTTCAGTTCCTTTTAAGACTTTTAAACAGTGTGCTGTTTTCTCAAATATCGCCAGATTCCAGACATTGTTACACCACGAAGAAGACAACTGCAAATTGTCAAATGCCTTCCGTTTTTCAGAAATGGGCATTTGAGCAGCTGCCGGTAGCCTCCTTAAGCGTTCCTGGGAATGAATATAAAAATAAAAAGAAGGGGATTGTTGCTTTGTTTTTTCTGACCCTTCAATTTAGATATAAAAAACTTATACTGTAATGACGACCCATGAAGATACTATGGCCATGCTAAATTCACTGTTGTCCTACCAGGCACACTAACTCTAGGGGACGGAGGTGTCATCAGTCCCCTCAAAATTCCTTAGCGGGTGACTCAGCCCCGCAATGTTGAGGGAACAGAGGAGGCCGAGCGTGTTGAAGGCGCAGCCATTGAAGCTGCACAGCACTGGGCAAGGCCTTCTCCTGAGGATGTGCCTCATCCCAACAATGTGTAATGCGTCACATGTTGTGCCACAGCCCCTCAGTTTACAGCCCAAGGCACCACCTCTGTGTCCTACCTTTCTGGGCCAACTGAGGTGGCAAATGGTGGCAAATGGATGGACTTGTCTTTATCTTGCCAGGCTCAGTATGAGCAAAATAGAGCCCTTCAGACTCAAGTCTTCCATTTCTGAATGAGCTGAACCCCATCTAAAAGTAGGGATAAACTTTTGGGGAAGTTCCAAAAATTTCACTGTGCGTTTCTGAAGGAACTAAAGCAGATGAGGGCCTGTGGCCTTCCAGAAGCTGTTGGACTTCCAATTCCCATCTGCACCAGCCAGCATGGCCAATGGTCAGCGCCAATGGGATTTGTAGTCCGGCAACACTTGGAGGGCCAGAAGTTCGTGTAACAATGACAAAGCCACTTCCGACCTCAGGAGGAGGTGGTGTTGCGGGCTCACGCCCCCAACGCCCGCACGGAGGCTGGCTTTCAGCCCCATGCGATCAGGGGAATCCTCAGGCCACGTCATCCCCTGGCCAGCCAATCGGCTGGCTCAGGGGGTGCGGCCTGCCTCATTTAAGGCTAGCGTGGCCTGGGATCTCCCTCTTTGGCCGCTCAACTTTTTAGGTTTCCCACCCGCCCGCCCTTCAAGGTTTCCTTTCTGACCTTGCTATGGACCTCGGTTGGTCGCCGTTAAGGGGCCTGGTAGGAATTTTTTCCACTTGGCAAATTGGCACTGGCCATTTGGTTTTTCGCCTACCTCGTGGCAAATCGTCACAACTTCCTTGGTTTTGGCAGTTAGGCATTGGTAGGGGTATTGTTATGTAGATGTGTTGGGGGGGAGCGCCATCACCTCCCCCAAATATTGAAGGGTAGTCCGGTAAAAGATTCGGGGGGGCGTGGCCCCGTCCGAAGCCTATGGAGGCCAGGGCCTAAAGTGCGCCCCCGAGCGGTGACCCCGGGGGAGTCCCTACTTGATGTGCGTCAGCAGGGCTCCCCTTGCTGGTGTTAACCCTTCCCGGTCTTCAAGCAAACAGGCTGAAGCCGGATAGTTGGTTAGGACCAATGCCTAAGCCAATACCGCTCTTTACCTGTAACCAATAAAGTTGTGGCCATATTTAGCCCATTAACCTTAAATAACTGTGTCATGTGTCTTTATTTCCACTGGGGGGAGGCGGGAACTCGCCACGCAACAAGAAAAAGTATACCTGTTATGGTTAGTTGAAATAAAACATTCAAACAGTACCTTTTCCCCCATCAAAGCTTCTTCTGAATGAATGGTTCCAACCTTTTCTTGAATAAGATATCAGGGGACTCTCTTTCCGCTTCACACAGACCCTCAGAGTTAAAAGACTGGTTCTCTTCAGAGAATACTCTCTCCTGTTTTCTTTGTAGTGTTTTGGGAATTTGCACACTCACTGCTGCTCGGAGTCAGTCTGCAAACTTCCGCTAACAATGCAATCGAGTAACTTCCATCCCCTGCCTCCTTTTTAGCAGATTGTAGAATAATTTAATAATAATAACAGTAATAATAATAATAAACGGGGCGAGGAGAGGAGGGGGGAAGACCCTACAGCTTTGACAGATGGTACTCAGCGCTTGACTCCTGCTGAGCTCAGCAGGGCCGATGGTTTAGCACTGTCAAAAAGACTCTTGCCTATGAAGTAGATAACAAAGTGTGGGCTGCCAGCCTCCTTTCCTATAGAAAAGCTCGCTTGTTGTAACATGTTGCTCCTGGATTTCTTTCGCTGCGGTGGGGGGAGCTTAAAAAAAAGAAGAGACAGAAAACCTTCTGAAAGCTTTCGGCTGCCCTATGCGGTGGGCAGATGCTTTTGTGCTGGAGAAATTGGGAAGGGAAATCAAAGAAGCAGGAAGCGATGCGGCAGGGAGGGAACTTCGGAGGCCCAGGCGAGCTCCGGTGGCGAATTTGGAAGACTTCAAAGAGGATTCCAGCTCAAAGGGAAGACCTAGATATTGAATAGATGCTGTATAGTGTCGGGGGGTTCTTTCCCTCCCCATCGTGGCCTTTGCCAAATGAGCTAATGCCAAAAAGGAAAGTGGACTTGGGCTATAAAATGATGCTTTAGCAGAATTTTCGCTAGCGACCTCTCGGCTGCAAACCTGTTGCCATCCCGCCGTGTTCTCTGTCTCTTCAGACATGTCCCCACCCGCCTGGCCAGATTGGGAGCATTGCAAACCATCCTTTCTGGTAAGCCTGAAAATCTTTTTTTTTTTTTTTATGGGGTGAGGTAGAAAGTTATGTTAACTGTGCAAGATGTAACCTTCCTGCTCTGTTACAAACACCTGGATTTTCCTGTTGTGGAAGGAAGAGTGTTGGCCACACCCCAAAAAATGTACAGTGAATGTCCAAAATTAGGTGGGAGGCTGCACTGATAGGCGAATGTTGACAATCCCAGATTAATTTTGAGCCGACATGAAAATGGATAGAGATGGAGACATGGTTGTATTTCAACTCTTGGAGAGTACACAAGTAAGCACTTGTCACATGTCACCAGTGTATCTGAGTTTTTGGAGATTCACCTGGTTCACCCAGGATGGTCAACATTTGCAAACTGAATGCCAACCACCAAATTTTGGATACTCTCTTGGTGTAGTTATAAGGCAACCTGCTAAAGAACTGCCACCCGCTGGTGACATTCAAAATCCAGAGTTAATTCTGTAATGTCACGCTGCTAAAAAGTTTTAATTTGGCTTCCTTTTTTGGCACGTAAGATGCAAGAGCATGTTGAAATCAACAGCGCGTACTCTTATGTAGGGTTGTTCAGGGTTGAAACGCCAAAAATATAGCACACTGCTCAATATGTCGATTCTCTTTATACTTCTCCATGGACATAATTTACTTCAGAAAAATTAATGTGGCATTAATAACTGAAATATAATTTGTGGCGTAAGTTGAAAAGGTCCGGTCCCTGAGAATCTCTAGGTAAGAGATCTTAGCCGGCAGGTATATAAAGGAGGGGGTGAATAAGGTGGGAGTTGAAATGCAATGAAATGCAAAAATTACAATCCTTTATAATCCTACACAGGTTTATTTTGCTATTACTTTAATATTTGCCTATTGTGTCTATAGAATTGTAAAGGGATGAGTACACTCAATGAAGAGCATTTGAGTACATGTAGTTTGCTTTGGGGGGACGTGGGTGGCGCTGTGGGTTAAACCACAGAGCCTAGGACTTGCCAGTCAGAAGGCTGGCGGTTCAAATCCCCGCGACGGGGTGAACTCCCGTTGCTCGGTCCCTGCTCCTGTCTACCTAGCAGTTCGAAAGCATGTCAAAGTGCAAGTAGATAAATAGGTACCGCTCTGGCGGGAAGGTAAACGGTGTTTCCGTGCGCTGCTCTGGTTCGCCAGAAGCGGCTTAGTCCTGCTGGCCACATGACCTGGAAGCTGTACACCAGCTCCCTCGGCCAATAAAACGAGATGAGCGCCGCAACCCCAGAGTCGGTCACGACTGGACCTAATGGTCAGGGGTCCCTTTACCTTTACTTAGTTTGCTTTTTGATTCTAAGGAGAGAAAAACATAGTATTTTGGCAGAAGCATATTCCAGCACCCACATTTTCTGAGGGCCTCTCCAGACATCCTTTTTTATTGTGTATTCATGATGACTTGTACTCATGGTGCTATCGGGGTGGTTATACAGAATCCTGCCTCCTATACCGCTTGCACCATCAAAACTTCCAAGACATGCTTCTTTCCCCATCTTTATATGCCCCATAGCTTCTTGCTGAAATTCTTGAACATTTCATCCCACAAATGCACAGCGGAGGGGGGTAGCCCTGCTTTTGTTGCACTATAGTTCAAGAGCTGGGGCATGTGGGGGGGTTAAAAAGGTAAAGGTACCCCTGCCCGTACGGGCCAGTCTTGACAGACTCTAGGGTTGTGCACCCATCTCACTTAAGAGGCCGGGGGCCAGCGCTGTCCGGAGACACTTCCAGGTCACGTGGCCAGCGTGACAAGCTGCATCTGGCGAGCCAGCACAGCACACGGAAACGCCATTTACCTTCCCGCCAGTAAGCGGTCCCTATTTATCTACTTGCACCCGGAGGTGCTTTCGAACTGCTAGGTTGGCAGGCGCTAGGACCGAGCAATGGGAGCGCACCCCGCCGCGGGGATTCGAACCGCCAACCTTTCGATCGGCAAGTCCTAGGCACTGAGGCTTTTACCCACAGCGCCACCCGCGTCCCTGTGGGGGGGTTAGGGGAGGGGTAATATCGCTGGTGAATGGACGCGGGTGGTGCTGTGGGTTAAACCACAGAGCCTAGGACTTGCCGATCAGAAGGTCGGCAGTTCGAATCCCCGTGACTGGGTGAGCTCCCGTTGCTCAGTCGCTGCTCCTGCCAACCTAGCAGTTCAAAAGCACGTCAAAGTGCAAGTAGATAAATAGGTACCACTCTGGCAGGAAGGTAAACGGCGTTTCTGTGTGCTGCTCTGGCTCGCCAGAAGTGGCTTAGTCATGCCGGCCACATGATCCGGAAGCTGTACGCCGGCTCCCTCAGCCAGTAAAGGGAGATGAGTGCCACAACCCCAGAGTCAACCACGACTGGACCTAATGGTCAGGGGTCCCTTTACCTTTAATATTGCTGGTGGGGGACACGTCATGCTCATTCTGGGGTACTTCGGTCCCCACCCGGCACTCAGCTCTCACCTGTGGCTCCTAGAAGTTGTCAGCATGTGACAACGGCTTCGACTGGCCGGCTAAAACAGGTGAAGATAACTCATGGATCTCAAATGTTCTGTGAGGTTGGGACTTCCTCTGCATGCGAAGACAGGCTCTGATGGATGGACTAGATGAGACCAATAGTGGGTCCAACGGTCGAGAAGTTGGTTTCTTCATGTGCTGTAGAGGGAAAAGAGGGGCAGATGGGGGTCATCAACCTGGGAAGGCAGCCCATCTAGGAGAAGGAAAACTCTGATCTTAAACCTCCACTGCCTTGCAGGATACCTTCAGGAGTAAAAAAAAAGACCAATCTGGAGAGGCACTGAAGTAACATAAATGCAAGGGGTGGGAGGGACTTTTTTTAGGGGACAGGAATGCTTCACCTGTGCTGTGTCTATCCATTCTAACCCCCCAAATCTGCCTCTTTTGGGGGATAACTTTCTGCCGTTTTGGCTTACTGCTTGGGGTAAAGACACTATTTACACCAGAGAGAAGACTGTCTGTGGGCTTTCCCTCAGTGGAAAACACAACCACTCTACCAAATTCACACATTTTTTTTCTGTTCTCCAGCCAGATAATAATAATAATAATAATAATAATAATAATAATAATAATAATAATAATAATTTATTTATACCCCGCCCATCTGGCTGGACCTCCTCAGCCACTCTGGGCGGCTTCCACCAAAACACAATAACCTATTAAACATTAAAAGCTTCCCTAAACAGGGCTGCCTTCAGATGTCTTCTAAAAGTTTGGTAGTTATTTTTCTATTTGACATCTGGTGGGAGGGCGTTCCACAGGGCCCTCTGCCTGGTTCCCTGTAACTTGGCTTCCTGCGGTGAGGGAACCGCCAGAAGGCCCTCGGCGCTGGACAGAAATGAATGCGTGCTTTACTGGAAAATATCATGCACAAATGCATTGTGTTTGGGGAAGCTGGTTTGCAAAAGTGTTTCTTTTAGGAGAGATTGCATATGAAAATGTGTTTATTGGGAGAAATTCAAACTAAAACACTGATGATTTTCAGGAGGCCTTTTTTAAATCGTCACCGCCACCACCATTGCAAACTAATGTGGAAACGCTGACAGGCCTTTGCAGCTATTTGATTTTTATTTGGATCAGCCAGCCACCTTAAGGATCATCAGTAGTGTTTATATTTGATATTATTTCTTAAATTGTGTTTTATGTTTTAACATTTTACGCCACCCTGATGTTTCATCCTACGTTGGTACAGAAATGCTTTTTTTAAAAAAAAATGCATAGAACTGAGCTTAAGATTGCAAAAATGAGAAACCAAATACCGTATTTTTCGCTCTATAAGACGCAGCAGACCACAAGACGCACCCAGTTTTTGGAGGAGTAAAACAAGAAAAAAAAATATTCTGAATCTCAGAAGCCAGAACAACAAGAGGGATCGCTGCGCAGTGAAAGCAGCAATCAATCCCTCTTGCTCTTCTGGCTCTGGGATAGCTGCGCAGCCTGCATTCGCTCCATAAGACACACACGCATTTCCCCTTACTTTTTAGGAGAGAAGAAGTGAGTCTTATAGAGCAAAAAATACGGTAGATCTGCCCATCTCTAGGCACCTTTCGCTTCTGCTTGGGAGCTCATGAAATTGTTAACTCCATTATATTTTCTTTTTTTAAAAAAATCTGTGTGAGCCACTTTGATGACCCAGTGTGGAAATATTTCCACGAATAAAATAAATATGGCAATTGGTTGAGAGGGGAGCTATTCCCTCCTTAGGTGCAAACCGCCCTCTGCAGAGTTGGGAAGAGGCCCAACGCCAGAGTCTCTATCTGCAGAAGCCCCAAATCTCCACCTCACCCCTTCTCTAGAGAAATCCCCCTCCTCTCCGCTCCAAGCTCCATCTCCTAGTGAAAGCACAACATGCTGGCAGGTGGCGTTTGGACCCAGGAAGCGAAATCTCTGGACCCTGCATCTGTTGCACCTGCCGTTCTGCGGCTGGGGTCTCTGGCTTTGTTGACTAGAAAAAGGAACAGGGCATCATGCCAGGAGCCTTCGTGTGCCTTCTGAGCCAGATCCCAGTTGCTAAGGGGCTTGGGGAAGACATCAAGAGAGAAGGGGGGGAAATAAAAAATAAAAGTAAATCTTGTTTTTCCTTTTTCACAGAGAGAGGTGTGGGCAGATTGTATGTTAACAAGGAGAGGGAGGGTGTTCTCAATCCCATTTGGAGAAGGGCGGTAGCTCAGTGGCAAAGCATCTGCCTTGCGAAGCAGGAGGTGTCAAGTTCGATTCCTGTCATCTCCAGGTAGAGTGGTGAGAGAATCGCTGCCTGGAAACCCGGAGAGCTGTTGCCAGCCTGTGTTGGCAATACTGAGCTAGACCATCAGAAAGTGTTTATTTATCTGGCGGCAGCGGAGGACCGGACCCAGAATTGAATATAAATTACTAACAGATTCAAAAGAAGGAGGGGGATTTTCTCTGCCGGATTGGAAGATATATTTTGATGCCGCAGCCCTTTGTTGGGTTAAGGAATGGATTAAATTAGATAATGCTGATGTTCTTGATTTGGAGGGGTTGACAATGTATAGTGGTACCTCTGGTTAAGTAGTTGATTCGTTCCGGAGGTCCGTACTTAACCTAAAACTGTTCTTAACCTGAAGCACCACTTTAGCTAATGGGGCCTCCTGCTGCTGCTGCGCCGCCAGAGCACGATTTCTGTTCTCATCCTGAAGCAAAGTTCTTAACCCGAGGTACTATTTCTGGGTTAGCGGAGTCTGTAACCTGAAGCGTATGTAACCCGAGGTACCACTGTATTCGGTTGGCATGCTTATTTATGGTATGATAAGATAAAGGCTCATAAAGGCTTTAAAAACCAAATAATTAGAAAATATACAATGTTTGGATAAAATATAAAGATCTCTTAGAAAGGAAAACACCTAGGTGGCTTTCACCAATGGAAGCAAAGGCCCAGAAGAAGTTAAATATGGAGAGTACCTGGTTGAGATATTCTGATTTACTGTTGGAAGATAAGGAAGGATACAAATTAAGACCATTTGAGCAAATCAAAGATAAATTGGATTGGCTACATTATTATCGGATTAATGAATTGTTTAAACTTGACAAGAAAAATGGTTTTGCGTCAGAAAAAAACAAATTGGAAACGGAGTTGTTAGATACTAATGTTAAAAATTTATCAAAAATGTATAATTTGTTGTTGGAGTGGCACACAAAGGGGGCTGGATGTGGCCCAATCGCCTTCTCAATCCGACCTGCGGACAGTCCGGGAATCAGCATGTTTTTACATGAATAGGATGTGTCCTTTTATTTAAAATGCATCTCTAGGTTATTTGTGGGGCCTGCCTGGTGTTTTTATGTGAGTAGAATGGGTGCTTTTATTTAAAATGCATCGCTGGGTTATTTGTGGGGCATAGGAATTCATCCCCCCCCCCCGGGAAATATAGTCCGGCCCCCCACAAGATCTGAGGGACAGTGGACCGGCCTGAAAAAGTTTGCTGACCCCTGAGCTAGATGGATCAATGGTCTGACTTTGTATCATGCAGCTTCCTGTTTCTATGCTCCCTTGTTCGGTAATTAGTCCGGGAGGGTTGGGTCTCATTAGAAAAAGGTCTCTTGATAGCTGGAAATCTCTCTCTGATTTTGAATGGGATACCCATCAATGTTTGGTGACACAGAGAGATGCCCAAATTGCTGTCTAAGTGTCCTGATCCATAGGGAAACTGACTATCAAAGATAGGCGATGGCCTGTACATTGTATTAATCGTGCGAAGAATTTGTTTTCTGCCTTATCTTTTTCTGCTATTGCATTTTTGGTATGATTGTTGTTGTTGTTTAGTCGTTTAGTCTTGCCTGACTCTTCGTGACCCCATGGACCAGAGCACGCCAGGCACCCCTGTCTTCCACTGCCTCCCCCAGTTTGGTCAAACTCATGCTGGTAGCTTCGCGAACCATCTCGTCCTCTGTCGTCCCCTTCTCCTTGTGCCCTCCATCTTTCCTAACATCAGGGTCTCTTCCAGGGAGTCTTCTCTTCTCATGAGGTGGCCAAAGTATTGGAGCCTCAGCTTCAGGATCTGTCCTTCCAGTGAGCACTCAGGGCTGATTTCCTTCAGAATGGAGAGGTTTGATCTTCTTGCAGTCCATGGGACTCTCAAGAGTCTCCTCCAGCACCATAATTCAAAAGCATCAATTCTTCGGCGATCAGCCTTCTTTATGGTCCAGCTCTCACTTCCATACATCACTACTGGGAAAACCATAGCTTTAACAATACAGACCTTTGTTGGCAAGGTATGATTGTAGTGACTGCAATGCTTGCTCATTTTTAAGGTTATGGTTATTGTGAGCAGCTTTGAGCTCAACATTGCTGTTGGAAAAGCAGAATGGAAATATCAAAAGAGGGAAGTCGGTAGTCCCAGGGTTCCAGAGAGGCAGGAAGGCAAAGTGAGACAAAATCAGCACCTTAGAGAGGAACTAATGCGTGGGTTTCAGGACCACAGATAGCAACTCAGCAGCAGAGGCAGAACATACAAGTTGTCTCAGCAATGCGCTTGAGCAGCTGGCAGATCTTAATAGCAGAGGTGGGGAACCTCAGACCCCGGAGCCCAATGTGGCCCTCTAGCCTCTTTCTGGTACGCTCCCTCTCCCCAGACTACACCAATCACTGGCCCTGCTTCCGACGCTGGGGCTTCCCTCCCACCCGGATGGAATGTGCCCTTGAGTTCTGATCATGTCTCTGCAAAAGGGGGGTTGTGTGAGTGCATGTACTGTGCAAAGGTGGAATTTGCGTTCATCGCTCCACCTACGGGTGCCTCCAGCCCCGCCTTGAAGAAGATAAGGATACAAGAATGAGATACATTATATATAGATATACAGATACAGATGAGATGGAGATCTGGAGATAAGGATATACAATCATACCTCAGGTTACAGATGCTTCAGGTTGTGCGTTTTCGGGTTACGGACGCTCCGAAACCTGGAAGTACCAGAACGGGTTACTTCGGGTTTTGGCGCTCGCGCATGCGCAGAAACACTAAGTTGTGCTTTGTGCATGCGCAGAAGCACCGAATCATGACCCACGCGTGCGCAGATGCGGCGCTGCAGGTTGCGAATCTAAATAATACTAATACTAGATAACAAACAATGTCGTGAAGTGGTTAAATAGCCAGTGAGTTGGGAGGTGTGGGGTCAAATCCACCCTTAGCAATAGATCCGCACGGATCACATTCACAACCCAAGCGTCCACTGTATAGATATATAGCTATATAGATACAGATACAGATATACAACACATTTCAAATTAAAAAGTGGCTGTGCAGCACAGGAAGCTGCCTTAAACTGAGTCCGACCATTGATCCTCCTAGCTCAGTACTGTCTACACATGAGATCCCCAATGTGGTGCCCTTAGACACCCCCTTGGTGCCTTTCAGTGCTCTCTGCCTTCCCATTAAAATTTTGGGAAGGTTTATATATATATATAAAACCTGATGGCTCCCTAGGACACACTATCTACCGGAAAAAAACACACACCAACCGCTACTTACATGCACAATCACACCACCACCCTGCACAAATAAACTCCGTAGCCAAGACTCTCATCTCCAGAACCAAACGCCTGGCTGACAAAGACCACTTGACAACTGAGTTACAGAATCTCTCAAATGTGTTAATCGCCAATGGATACCAGCAAAACAGGGTTACGAAGCTAATCCAAAAAGAAACACCCCCAAAAACCAAGACACAGAAGAAAACAATGGCATGGCCCTCCTTCCTTATATCAAGGGCACTACAGATAAAATTAGCAAAAATTAGCAAAATCCTCCATATATATATGCTTTCGTAGATTTTCACGGGTACAGGAATGCAGGTTTTGGTGTCCTCGGGTGTCTTCCCGTGTAAAAGTTGGGGTGTCTAGGCGACGTTTCGACGAGGTCTCACTCGTCATCTTCAGGCTGGTGCTTTCGGCTTCTTGTTACTGGAACAGATCCTGCTCTGTTCCAGTAACAAGAAGCCGAAAGCACCAGCCTGAAGATGACGAGTGAGACCTCGTCGAAACGTCGCCTAGACACCCCAACTTTTACACGGGAAGACACCCGAGGACACCAAAACCTGCATATATATATATATATATATATATATATATATATATATATATAATGTATAGTTTGGCTAAGTGGCGCTGTGGGTTAAACCACAGAGCCTAGTACTTGTTGATCAGAAGCTCGCGGTTCAAATCCTCATGACGGGGTGAGCTCCCATTGCTCGGTCCCAGCTCCTGCCAACCTAGCAATTCGAAAGCACGTCAAAGTGCAAGTAGATAATAGGTACGCTCTGGCGGGAAGGTAAACGGCGTTTCCGTGAGCTGCTCTGGTTTGCCAGAAGCGGCTTAGTCATGGCCACATGACCCGGAAGCTGTACGCCGGCTCCCTCGGCCAATAAAGTGAGATGAGCACCGCAACCCCAGAGTCAGCCACGACTGGACCTAATGGTCCTTTACCTCACTATAGTTTGGCTGAAGAGGTTGCCTCCTTGGGGGAGGCAAGGTGCCATGTTTTGTTTGCTTGGGGGAAATGAAGAAACTTGCATATTGAGGACTGGGAACGAGGGCTCTTGCATTGATTGCAACTTGGGCACTGTTGTAAAACTGCTGCATTTTTATTTTATTTTTTTACTTGCTTGTTTCCAGGACTAATTCAAGAAGATGCAGCTTTTGACAGTCAAAGCCTGGAACAGCCTGGATCTCAAGGAGAACTTTCTCTCCTATAATCTCCCGGGGCTTTTAGGATCTACAAGTGAGACCCTAATCAAAGTTCCTTCCTTTAGCAAGGTAATGTTATCATCTACCTGGGGCAAGACCTTACCTGTTGTGGCCCCAGAGTTGTGGAACACTCTCCTCCGTGAGGTCTGTATTAATTCTTCATTGGTAGACAGGGGGGAAATGCGGCTATTTATTTGGATGTTTGGGGATTGGTGGAGATACTTGTGTAATTAGACATGTTCGTTTTGATTCCTTTAGCTGAGGTTGTGTTTTTTCTATTTCAAATGGATTGCTTTTATTTGCATTTTCAAACAGTAAAAAAAATTGTGAGTAGGTGCTCTTTTATTGAAAGATAGTGTAAATAAATATATTCCTCAAGGCAGGAAACATGTTTTGTTGCTGTTTATATTACTCTTTATTTACAGAAATTGTACTGTATAATGTCTGGACATTCTGTTTATTGAGCATTCATCCTTGATTTGCTTGCATAAAGCTTATGCCAGAGTCTAGATCATATCTGGTCTTTTTGAACATTTTGTTTAGGGGGCAGTTATATGGCAAATAGGGACGCGGGTGGCACTGTGGGTTAAACCACAGAGCCTAGGACTTGCTGATCAGAAGGTTGGCGGTTCAAATCCCCGCAACGGGCCCCACAAATAACCCAGATGCATTTTAAATAAAAGGACACATTCTACTCATGTAAAAACATACTGATTTAGAAGGCCATTGGGCCGGATCTGGCCCCCGGGCCTTAGTTTGCCTACCCATGTAAAGAGGTTTGGATCCTGCCCCAATATACACATTATTTCTTGTAAGCAGGCATGTCCAAAGTCTATTTCGGGGGCTTAATTGGTTTAATCCAGCCCCTGTGGTAGTTTATATCCTAAAAAAACCCTCAACAACTTCAATCCTAAAAAAAAGCTCAACAATTATGGTTGGCCCTTTCGTCGGCCCTCATGGCCCTTCACTTCATCAAATCTGGCCCTCTTTGAAAAAAGTTTGGACACCGCTGTTGTAAGGTAAGGGAGAGAAGAGGCTAGGCGTGGCTCCAAGTGTAACTCCCCTTTTATACCGGGACAGAAAATAATGATGTGGCAGAAATGGCCCCTCAATATTCCACAGCCCACATGGTGGGAAGAGGCCAATGGGATCTATTACGCCCTCCAAAAAGCTCCATACACAAATGCCGGGCACCCACAATGTTGGGTGCTCCCTCAGTGTGCCTGAACCCCTCATTTTTAATAATAATATAGTCTGTATAGCCCACTCTTCACTGAATATTTCAGAGTGGAGAATATAGCAATGTCCAATGTACAAAAAATTACAGAATCAAAAAATAATAATTTAAAATTAAGTAAAGTAAAGGTACCCCTGACCATTAGGTCCAGTCATGGCCGACTCTAGGGTTGCGGCGCTCATCTCGCTTTATTGGCCGAGGGAGCCAGCGTACAGCTTCCGGGTCATGTGGCCAGCATGACTAAGCCGCTTCTGGCGAACCAGAGCAGCGCACGGAAACACCGTTTACCTTCCCGCCGGAGTGGTACCTATTTATCTACTTGCACTTTTCTGTGCTTTCGAACTGCTAGGTTGGCAGGAGCAGGGGACCGAGCAATGGGAGCTCACCTTGTCGTGGAGATTCAAACCGCCGACCTTCTGATTGGCAAGTCCTAGGCTCTGTGGTTTAACTCACTGCGCCACCCGCATCCCTTAAAATTAAGTACTCCAGCATAAATCAGAAGGGAAAAAAATAAACAGCTGCGAGAACAACCATTAGAATGTCCTTATAACCCAAAGGTCTGGGTAAGGAAAAGAGGGACACCCAACCAATTAAAACAACAAAATGGCCTTATGAAAATGTCCAGTCCATCGTAAGATCCCAGGATAGGTTGCAATCTTGTGAATCAACAGTAGAATTAAAACCAATTCAATGCGCGTGTTGGTGAATCACCACTTACAGACAGCAGGGGGAGTGCTACGCTCATTCCATTACTCTCTGAATTTTTCTCCTGCTGCTGCGCTGCCTTTCTTCGATTCTTCTATAATAAGAGTGCAACTTTCCCAGAAAGAACTATGACAGCAACAAACAGCCCTCGCTGCTTGATTTTGAGGCCACAAAGTTTCCAGACAGGCTGTCCCCCTTCCCATTTCTGTTTTCCAAACGATACCTGACATTCCTGAGCTACTGGGCACGCTCAGTCCCCATCATTGGGCCATTGTGGGGGGTAGATTTTTAGTTTGCTTTGTACTTTGCAAGGCTTAGGAAGAAGCAAAATACACCCAGCTTTTGCTATATTTATCAACTGGGGGTGGAGAGCCATAGCTTTGTAGCCTGCTTTGCAGATAAGTACCAGATTCAATCTCCTAGGAAATGTTTTGTTGATGAAAGGAACAACCCTGGGGTGCTAGCATCAGCCACAGTGGGTCCTCTGGGGCCTGTGGGCCCTGGCATTTGCACAACTTTGCTTAGTACTGATGCCCCCCGCCCCCCCCACACCTTCAGAGGTACAATGGTTTGCAATCAAAGACGGGGCCTTTTCAGTGGTGGCACCCTTGAGTTGTGCACTATTTGTTCCAAGGACATTTGGCTTGTTTTCCTTTTGGCATCAGGTAAAGACTCCTCCTCCCCCTCTCCTAGGCCTTTAAAGGTTCGTTTCAATTTTGCCCTTTCTGGTTTCAACCTTTATTGCTGCTTTTTAAATTTATGGGTTTGCTTTGGCTACTGTTTTTTGTGTGACTGAAAGGCTTGCTTTTTAATGTGACTTGTGTTGTGAAGCTTCCCCCCCCCCCTTCTTTACAGCCCAGAGAGATGCCGTGAAAGTTTCAGACAAAAGGCAGTTAGGAATCTCTTAAATACAGTGGTACCTCAAGTTACAGATGCTTCAGGTTACAGACGCTTCAGGTTACAGACTCCACTAACCCAGAAATAGTACCTCGGGTTAAGAACTTTGCTTTAGGATGAGAACAGAAATCGTGTGGCGGCGGCGTGAGGCCCCATTAGCTAAAGTGGTGCTTCAGGTTAAGAACAGTTTCAGGTTAAGAACGGACCTCCGGAACGAATTAAGTTCTTAACCCGAGGTACCACTGTATATACATGCATACATAACTGGAAAACGATAGAAAAGAAAATGGTATTCTATCAAAGGGAGGAATGCATTCGAATCAGAAAACTTGTGTGATCTCAACAGAAATGTTCACAGCCTACAGCTGCAATCCTACCTGTGAGTGATTCTCCTCAGTAGACATGCACGAGACTGCCATGTTCATATATCAAATTCTGGATATCAGTTTGCCCAGAAGTTCAGTTCTGTTGAAAAAGCCACGAACTATCCTAGTCTTGTGTGTTGCAGAGGGTTGAACTAGATGACCCTTGGTGTCCCTTCCATTTGTACAATCCTAGGATTCTACCCACCCACCCCCCAAATTTGATGATAGCGTCCTGGCAAATTGCACTGAATCCTTTTTTTTATAATAATTTTTTTTTTAAGCAAGCGAAAGAGCTCACGCTGTGCCTTGCATCTGCCTCCTAAATGAACTCTAATAAGATTTACTTAATCCGCTTGAAAAGGGGGGAAATGCTGTTTTTGTCCCCCAATTTGTTGAAACATCTGAAAGTTCGCAAGGTTGCGACCCCTCTTTCGGAAAGGGGAATCCCCTGCCACCTGTAAATATCCTGGGGAAAACAGTTGGGAACAATGAAACACGTGCTGGTTAACTGTTGCCCGGGCAACGGTTACGGTTCATCCGTAGGGGGTCTCCGGCCCCACCAAGGCTTTGTCCGCAGGAGACGTGGGCCAGCTGTTGCCGAATAGCCATTGTGGAAGATCATTGTGAACTAATAGTCAGTCGCACAAATAGGCCCCTGTTCGTTCTCAATGGGTTTTGTCTTTTTCAAGGGGGGTCTTCCCTGCATATCCCACAGCAGATAACTCTCCAAGTTAGCATCGTGAAAACAGCCCTTTCCTTTAGATGCATAAATATCCCATTTATAATACAGTGGTTCTCGAACATTTTTTTCTTCAGGCCACACTTTCGGAACAAAAAAATGGCTCTCGGATTTTTTTATTGATAAGAAATACATTGGAAAACACGAGCAGGGTTGTTCTCGGAATCATTTTCTGACATTTTGAAAATATATCTATTCGTATTCCGCAAGTGAAAAAAGAAAACAATTGTTTTGAGATTATATAATGCTACACTGAAATGTTTAAATGTTCTTTGATTGTCCTTGAGTTTTCCTGCCATGCTGGTCATTCTCTCCTCCCCCACCAGTGTGGCACACCACAGCCTTTGAGAACCACTGATTTAATAGAATGGACACCAGCTTAACATTGGCTACTTAGGGCCTTTTCATGTACAGTGGTGCCCCGCAAGACGAATGCCTCGCAAGACGAAAAACCCGCTAGACGAAAGGGTTTTCCGTTTTTGAGTTGCTTCGCAAGACGATTTTCCCTATGGGCTTGCTTCGCAAGACGAAAACGTCTTGCGAGTCTTGCGATTTTTTTTCGCTCCCCCCCCTTTTTCTAAGCCGCTAAGCCGCGAATAGCCTTTTAGCCGCTAAGCCGCTAAGCCTTTAATAGCCGCTAAGCCGCTAAGCCGCTAATAGGGTTGCTTCGCAAGACGAAAAAACCGCTAGACGAAGAGAATCGCAGAACGGATTATTTTCGTCTTGCGAGGCACCACTGTATAGGTTAGATGTAGCAGAAATATCCAATAGGATGGTGCAGAATGATCCTGGGTGAAAGAGTCAGAATAGTTAGGAAATTCTGAGTCCCTGAAGCAAAAAAAACATTCTGCCATGGATATTGCAGCTCTCTGGTCTTCCCCACCTGCGTTCTTGGGGGTTGCATCTCTGCGGGTGGTCCCAAACAGGCCATCTCAAGATCTCACGGGAGCCATTGAAGCAACAAGGCAGGACTCCCTGGTCCTGAGTGGGGTAACTGTACCCCTGAAGGACCAGGTGCGCAGCCAGGTGAGTCATTTTGGACTCACAGCTGTCCGTGGAGGCGCAGGTCAATTCTGTGTCCACGGCAGCTGCTTATCAGCTCCATCTGGTGCGCAGGCTGAGACCC